AATAGCATTTATATAAAGAAAAACTAACTTACTGGATAGCTTTTAAATAAAGCAGAATACAGATACAAAAAACACTGGATTTCTGCCTTTTACTGCTGGATCATTAATAGAGAATTAAATTGAGCTTTGCTCATCAAGGCAGAACTTGAGCTTCCTCTGAGGATGCTTGAAGTGATCTAAACAAGATAACTCTAAATGGTATCACATAATAATCTTTGGCATTTTCAAGAAAAAAAGAAATTTGCCATTAAACTCAGATTTTTCGCTGATTCCACTCAGAACGGTTCTTTCTGTGAAAATGTCTGGTTTAACTCAGACCATTTAGTTCCCCCCTCATCTCTGCTACTTGTCAATTTATAGTCATGAATCAGATAAAGCCTGCACTGCCATCTGGTGGAAACAGCGAAAAAAAATAAGCACAGAGCTGTTACTCTGTCAGGTTTACACTTGCACCTCAAGGACAAACCTTCGGCAAACAAAAGGTTCAGATTTTGCACAGAAAGGACAGATGGTTTGAAAGAGGGAAGATATCAGTCTTTGTTAAAAGATGTGAAGGATTAAGGTTTAATTTCCAAACATCTACAACTTGATCATATAACGCATCTCAAAAGAATTACAATAACACCTAAATAAAATAAGACCTCAACAACCCAGGAGAAAGACAGGCATGTCTTTGATGTATACCTAAATGGAATGTGCTTAGGAGGATAGACTTAGGTAAGAGGATGCTCTTAGGTAGTTTGTTAAGGAGACTGAGGTCTTTTGGAGTGCAGGGGGCACTCCTACAGACCTTCAATAACTCTGTTGTTGCATCAGCCATCTTCTATGGAGCAGTCTGTTGGAGCAGTAGCTTATCTGTAGCTGAGAGAAAGCAGCTGGATAAGCTGATCGGGAAGGCCAGCTCTGTGATTTGATGCCCTCTGGACTCAGTGCAGGAGGTGGGAAACAAAAGGATCCTAACTAAATTAACGTCTCTGTTGGATAAGGTTTCCAACCCCATGCATAAAGCTGCAGAACTGAATGCACCAGGGAGCGTTATCACAGATCCTTCCTCCCAGGAGTTGGAAGATTTTATAACCACCACTGTTCCCAACAACCTTAATAAGTTGTTACATTCATGCTTTGAACCATTTCTATCTTCTAGTTAAACATGCTGTCATTTCACACATCTCCACCAATAAATACTTCCACAGCTGTTTCTGTTTATCGTTTAGCTGCTTGACAATAAGATTTTAGATCTTTTTAGGACTCTGTCATGATTTAAGTAAAGATCTGACCCAAATGCAGAAGATCAAACAGAGCCAAGGGAAAAGTTTACAAGGTTTTATTTAGAGCAAGTAGAGAGGAGTACAGTGCTGCTCTGAACACTGTCAAACCAGGGCTGAAAAGTGAAGGGGAAGATTCTGCGGTTAGTTCAGGCTCAGTGGAAAATTTATGTTTTCTTAATTGAAGAAGGGAATTAAGGTTGCAGACTCACGTTTCCAGAAAAGGTGTCTTATTGAATCCAGTCAGTGTGGGTTGTTCCAGTGAATGACTTGTTCGTTCGAGGGTAGAAAGGGTTTACCCAGATTGCGGTTGTTCCTTGGTGAACGGAGAAACTGACTGCCACTTAGTTTTCCTGCGGTACTTGAATGGGTTATTGTGGAGATGAATCCCCTGCTCAGAGAGAAGCCCAAAACAATCTTTGGGGGGAAAAGTTGATCCAAACCACAAACTTGAATCCTCAGCTCAGTTTGGTGCTCAGAGAATCCTTCCAGGGGAGAGAAGATCCAAAAAACATCCAGTTTGCAGGATGAATTCCTGCCAAGAGGCAAAGACTAAAACAGCAAGGTTAAAACTCAGTTTGACTCAGCAAAACTCAGCTTGGCTTGAGTCACCAAAACTGGCAAACAAAAACTCAGGTTAGATTTTGCTAAACTAAGCATGGCTAAAGTACCCCAAACTGGCAAACACACTGGCCTCGAGGTAGTGGCAGTAAGCAGCTTATGAGTCCTCAGGTAATGAGGCAACGAGCTGCAGGTGTGCAGGGAGGCCCAATGAGGACGGGGCACCACCTGGTAGAGGAGGAAAGGAAACACAAAAACAGACCACACAA